ATTCCTGGAAAATTCAAGTATTTTAAAACCTATTCACAAAACACTTTAGGTTTATATGTAAAATGGAATTAGGTTGTCCAGTCAGAGAATTATGAAGAGATTTTTTCACATGTGCTCATGCCCAGTGGGACATTTAGGGTTCAGGTAGGCTGGGGGACAGTTCTCCCACGTGCAAGATTCTCTGTCATGGGACGTGGCCTACAGCGGAAGGCATGTGTTTAGCATCCCTGGTCCTCGTCCCTAAATGCCAGCATTGCCTGTCCTGAGCCTGTGACAACCGTAAGGGCCTTCTCACACATTCAAAAGCTCCCTACAGGGGTCCTTCCTGTTTTGGGGATCATTGTCCTCGATTGGGTTCCCTTCTAATTGCATCTGAAAGTCCTCGTAGGGTCTTTTAGAGCTTTGGGTCCCGTCCCCCTTCCTCTCGTCTCCTGCCCGGTCTGCTTAGCACCTACTTTGTCATCCATGGCGTCAGTTGGTTCTGGTGGGAAAAGAAGGAGATGGATTCCCAGAGCCCCCCTCCGAGGGCCAGTCACTGGGTTAGGTAGCATGGAAAGTAGGTGCTTTACTTCCACAATCGATGCTTAAAGCTCTCCAACCCCCTCCTCCCTCAGATACGTGTGGCCCCCGACTGTGTCCCAGGCACTGGGTTAAGTGCGTCGCACACACAGTCTCGGTCCGAGCTCACCATGTTCCTAAGGGGCCGGAGAAGCTTCTTATCCTTCGTCAACAACCGAAGGAAGCAAGACCAAGAAGGGACACATTTGTCCAGGGCCACCGCCGGAAAGTAGCAGAGCTGGGCTTCACCCGAAGCTCTCTGGCACTGTTGAATTTATTGTCCCAACAATGCCACAGTCTGTTTTATAGGGGAGACAATGGATGTGTCTTGGAGACCAGGATTGTCCCGTGGTGTCTCGGGGAGGGGCAGTGTGTGGTTATTGCTCAGGCCCAAGAGCTCCCCGGCAGCATGGAGGTTGGGCCACGGGGCTGGCGTTTGTCTTACAGGCCAACGCCAACACGGATCTGAGGCTGGCGGCTGCCAACGGAGCCCTCCTGAGACACCGGGTGCTGTTGGGGGTGACAGACACGGTGGAAGGCTGCCAGAGTGTGATTCAGGTACTGTGTCTCGGAGTGACCTCTCCAGTGGACCCACTGTGGGGCTGGGCTCTCCCCGTCTGTGCAGTGTCCCCCGGAGTCTGCTAACGGGGATGGCGTCGGCAGCCCCTCCTTCCTCTCTGCTCCAGTGTTTCTTTCTGGAGACTCCTCTCTGGGTGGTAACCAGCAGCCTAGAACCTGCATGAGGCGGGGCTGGAAGGGAAGCTCGGAGGCCATCCAAGCCACATTCCTCATTGAACATTTATTCAGCAAAGAGATGGGGCCTCCTCTGTTTCGAGCCTTCAGTACCCAGACAAGGTCCCTGGGGAGGCAGGTCAGACCCTGAGGGCCTTGTCCTCCTGGCATGGTTGTTTTCTTGGCCCCCAAGGCAATGGGGAGATCTGAAGTGACTAGAAAGAGGTCACACAGTGGGTCTGGGACACAGCTGGGCTGGTTGAGGCCCAGGGCACCTGAGCCTGGCTGGGTTCTGCCTGGGAGGATGGATAAATCTCCTCGGCACCACCTCCGCATTCTTAGCTGGTGAGGGGCCCAGGGTGTGGGTACGGGTGGGCCCCCAGCGGGCACAGGGTTTGACATTTTCCAAATTGCACATGAAGCCACTTGTCTACCAGCCATCCAAAGGAGACCCCGTCGTGTGTGGGGGACTCTGGGAGAGAGCAGAATGGCATGCTCACGCCGGAGACCGGGATGAATCTGGTCATCCCCAGAAGGGCAAGCCTCCAGCGAGGAGGCAGGAGGTGAGGCCCGTCTCAGAGATGGAGAGTTCAGGGTCTGGTGGGTTTTGGCCTCAGCAGTCATGGCTGCTTCTCTCCCCAGCTCTGGTTTGTCTACTTCGACCTGGAGACCTGTGTGCAGTTTTTGTCCGACCATGTTCGAGAAATGAAGATGAGCCAAGAGGTGAGATACCTTAAGTGAAAAACAAAAAAATAAACCAGGAGGCTAGATTGTATAGATTGCATTACCTCAGTGTTGGAACAAGTGTCTAAGGAAAAGTTACTTGGAAGGAAGAATACCTCTGTGGAATCATGGTTGTTTTTGCCTAGGGAATTATGGCTGTTTTTCTCTTCCGTTTTAAAGAATTTTTTTAAAAATTGAATTATTTATTTATTTATATATAATTTTTGGCTGCGTTGGGTCTTTGTTGCGGCGAGCGGGGCCTACTCTTCATTGCGGTGCATGGACTTCTCATTGCGGTGGCTTCTCTTGTTGCGGAGCACGGGCTCTAGGCGCTTGGAGTTCAGTAGTTGTGGCGCGTGGGCTCAGTAGTTGTGGCTTGCGGGCTCTAGCGTAGTTGTGGCACACGGGCTTAGTTGCTCCGCGGCATGTGGGATCTTCCTAGACCAGGGCTCGAAGCCATGTCCCCTGCGTTGGCAGGCGGATTCTTAACCACTGTGCCACCAGGGAAGTCCTCTTTTCCTTTTTAACTAGTCGCATTTTCCACATTTTCTACAGTGAATATAAATTTTATTTATAATAATAATAATAATAAATAACAGCGAGAATATGTTTCATTTATGACAACAACAATAATAAAGATTCTGGCAGAGGAAAATACCGTATATTTAGATGACTTTCACTTGTTTGAAATCCTGAATGTTTTGAGAAGGAACGGGGAGAGTTTGCTCCAGTTCCACAGAGGAGGAAACTGAGGCTCTGAGAAGCCGCGTAGCTGGTTGGTGATGCCAGGTTTGGAGCCCAGCTCGCCTGTCCTCGAGCCCTGTGCTGCTTCCCTGGGATCCATTTTCGGGCTCCCGCAAGTACTGTAGTTGGCTTTGAAGTCAGGATTGTGGCTTAGCCCTGATCCGGACCCATTGGTTCCTGTGTGGCTTTGGGCAATTCCTTTGAGCTCCAGTTTGCTCATCTGCAACATATGGATAAAGATTCCCACGTCCCAGGCTGCTTTGAGGAGCAGATGAGAGCATGGAAGGAAAAGTGCTTCTGACCATACTTTTGCAGGAATTATCTGATCTCTCCAGAGTCTCCTGAGGTCAGCATCTGAGTCTGTAGACGGTCTATCTGTCCTATGTGGGTCTGCGGCTCAGGGAACCACCCGGCATCCTCCATCCACCTAACTTAGGGCACCACCGAGCCCCTCTCTGTTTCCTTTGCAGTCCTTGCTGAGAAGCAGATTGAGCCAGCTCTGTGTTGTCATGGAGACTGGGGTGACCCCCACGGTGGCCGAGAGGCCGGAGAACCTGCTGGAGGAAGCTCCTCTCCTGCCCAGCAGTCCTCGTCCCACGGAGAGGCCACTCGTGCAGACCGAGCTTCGCCAGCTTATTCCTGAGGCTGAGCCGGAGGTAACAGGCACCTGGGCCAGTCAGGTCCCCTCCTCCCCCACCAGGTGTTTGCATAGAGTCCGTGTGGGGCTCTCAAGTTCTAGATTCCTGGGGACATGCCTTTACATTTCCTCCTGCTCCAGAGTTCTGTTGGGTCCTGCCACCCAAGCTGTCTGTTGGGTATGGTCAAGAGCTAGTAGACCAGAAGTCTGGTAATGTGGTTTGCGGCTTGTGCAACCCTCTTCTCACCATGAGGACAGACCCACTGTCTGGGAGACATGCAGTGAGGGGGCGACCTGCGGCAGGGTGTGATACAGCAGAGCACTTGCATTTTCTTTTTAGCCAATAGATTTGGGGATTAAAGGTCCAAACCAGCCCAGACTTTCCCTTTTGCATCGATGGGGAGTGGGGGGACCTGCAAATAGGACCATTATGAGAGAAAATGATAAATATATTAATCTCTTCAAAGAGTTGAAAAGATTGATAAGATCACGTTCTTTCTTGTGCATGCATGTCTGGGTTTATGTGAAATAGCTCATTAACTATGATGGGTCTTTTAAATTATTTTTTCAAATTCATTCAAACCGATAGTAATACAATTTCCTGTCATGAATATCAGGTGTCAGTGTGTGTGCACATGTTTTTAAAGTAGCTGCCCTTATAAAATAGCAAAGGAAAATACAAGCAATGCCCAAGTCTCAACCTGGGCCAGACTGTCATATTTCAGGAGGAACCCAGTGTGAGCAAAAGGTGGAGAAATAGTTATAATGACCTCTTTCATTTTCACAGGTTTTTATCATGCATAAAATTCTTCAGCATATCCTCTGAAGTATAGATTATTCTCCCTTCTTCCCTGATGGGTGAAATAAGCTTCCAAGAGGTCAGCTGACTCACCCAAGGTCGCAGAACAAGGGAGAATGTGGCAAAGTCCAAGGCAGAAACCAGTCCTGTGATTCTCAGGAGGCCAGTTTCTTGTCACAGTTCTTTGTTTCTTATGTTATCAATTTTAGAATAAATGGGCGGGAAGACCAATCTGAGTTAGTAAGTGGTAGGCTGTTTGGAGTTTTCAACCTTTTTCTAGCACAAAGGATAACTCCAAGGAAACACGGATCCTACAGAGCTAGGTGGAATTTCTGCTTTTTGAATAATGATAATGGTAGTGATATTGATGGCATTTATTGCACATTAGGTATTGGGCTTTCTATCCATTAGTGCCTTTAGTCCTCACTCCAGCTCAACCAGAAAGGTGCTGTGATTTTCTGTCTTTTACTGATGAGGAAGTGGGCTAAGCAAGGTGAAGTGACTTTGCTCAGGGCCCGTCCCAGCATGGTTGAGCTGACATTCCCATTTGACCCTTTTGATTTGAAAGCCTATTCTTGATCCCTAACTGTACTGACATAAACAGGCTGGGTGTAACCCACACTTTACTTTATTACATTCAGACTGGACACAAGTACTGTGAAAGACTTCCATGCCACACAAAAGAAACTGGAGCATCTTTGCTGGAATCCCAACTGCCAGACAGGTGGATGGAACTTTAGAGACCAAATGTGTTAAAAGCATGCATTAAATACAATTAAAAACATTTTTTTCCTCTTTTTAACTTTTTAATTTTTTTCACTGCAGTGAAATATACATAGTACAAAATTCACTGCTTTAACTATTTTTAAGTGTACGATTCAGTAGCAGTAAGCACATTCACATTGTTGTGCAGCCATCCCTACACCCTCCTCCAGAACTTTTTCATCTTCCCAAATTGAAACAGCATACCCATTAAATACAAATTCTTTTACCTTACCCAGCCCCTGAAAACCACCATTCTACTTTCTGTCTCTATGAATTTATTGCTCTCGGTGCCTCATATAAGTGGAACCATACCGTATTTGTCTTTTTGTGATAAATCCAGTTTTGATAAGCACTTTTAATATAGGAGTACTGTCTGAAGCAATTCAGCAGGTACTGCTGTGTATGACTTGAAGAACCCTGCCGTCAGAGGGGTATTCCCCCAACCATGCCTCCATTTACTGGTGATTTTCTTCAAGTGCATTACCTTGATGTCATGTACTTTACAAAATCACAGACACTTGAAACTGGAAAAATGTGTGTGTGTGCGTGTGTGTGTGTGTGTGTGTGCGTGTGTGTGTGTGCACAATTGGCTGGTAGAAACCAATGGTAATTCCTCTAGTGCTTTGAGGCTCCCTAGCTTTTTTGTGCACATTATTATCACCTATTAGCAGTTAGGTTACCACCTCAGAGGTGAGGAAACTGAGGCTGCAGGAGCTCCACAGAGCTTGAGAGCTGGAGTTCCAGACCAGATTCAGGCATCTTGCAGTTGTCCCGGGTGAGGGCCTTGCCGGGTTCTTCCTAGTGAGCATTACTGCTGGTCCAGGGTGGGGTGTAAGGACCACTTGGCATACCCCTCATGCTTTAGACACTTTTCTGTGGCCCTCACTCTGCTTCCCTACCTCTTCCAGGAAATGGCCCAGCAGCTGCTGGCAGTGTTTGGTGGCTACTACATCCGGCTCCTGGTGACCTCTCAGCTCCCCCAGGCATTGGGCACACGACACACAGACTCTCCAAGGATTCCATGCCCCTGCCAGCTCATAGAAGCCCACATCCTGGGCACAGGGTGCTGCCCATTCCTGGCCAGGTGACCTAGGGATGAAGGTACTCATCTTCTTCCAAGGCTGAAGGTGAGAAGTCAGGGAGGCCTCAGGAGCCCAAGGTGGCCAGCGGTGAGCCCTAGGCGAGGAGGGCAGCATCTGGGGGCACTCTGAGGCTGTCAGTCATGTCAGCACTGTGAATATTATGCTCACTCCAGGACCCTGCACAAGAATGGCTTGTCAACATCCCACACTGACCCCTGGCCTTTGCAGAAGCCGATGGTCCCACTCTGAGGTACTTTCTGTGCTGCTTAGAACTGTGGGCATGGATGAAAGGGCCACCTGCACATCCCTTTCATTGTCTGGAGAGCCCAAGAAATGTGAAGATGACCAGACCGGACTGAATGTGTGTCCAAAGCTTGGTCTCAGGTGATGCTTCTGTCCCCACCCCCTTCTTGTCAGATGGAGACTCAGGGAGGACACTGCCCTTTGTGGCATCGCCTTGGGCCACTTAGATTATAAGAAGCCTCTTCCCAATCTGAAGTGAAAAAGTAAATTCTGAGAATGTTCTCTCCATTTTTAAGCTGTTTTTTCCCTACGTTTTCTGAAAAAAGATGGCACTTGGGCTTGTATGCTAGCACACAGGCCTTGAGGAGTAGGAAACAAACGGCCTGTAACTGCTAATGGGAATATTTGGAAGAAACTGAACCTGTCTGATTGGAGGACATATTTTGTTCAAAGGCATGCTTGCTTGTGGGTATGGTTTCATACTGCAGACGGAGAATGGCAGTTTGTTCCTTAACACTAACACTGTCCTGGGATGAAGCGTAATCTGTCACTTGTGGAATTCCATGAAGAGCTCAGAGGCTGCCAGGTGCACTGCTTCTGAACAGGTTTGAAGACCCATTGTTCCCTAGGCCCAAATCCAAAAGCCCTAGCCTGGCATTTAAAGGCTCCCCAGCACCTAAGACCTGGCCTTCATCTGCAGTTTTGGCTTCATTGCCCGTAAAAATCCTTCATAGGTTGAAACTCTTTTCCTGGACTGACATACCTGTTCCTTTGTATGTGCTGGACTCCTATGCATGCTTTTGTAAAAAAATTTTTTTTTAATTGAGGTGTGGTTGATGTAAGATATATACAAGGTTCAGGTGTACAACATAGTGATTCACCTTTTTTTTTTTTTTTTTTTTTTGCGGTACGCGGGCCTCTCACTGTTGTGGCCTCTCCCGTTGCGGAGCACAGGCTCCGGACGGGCAGGCTCAGCGGCCATGGCTCATGGGCCCAGCTGCTCTGCGGCATGTGGGATCTTCCCGGACCGGGGCACGAACCTGCGTCCCCTGCATCAGCAGGTGGACTCTCAACCACTGTGCCACCAGGGAAGCCCTGATTCACCATTTTTAAATGTTATACTCCACTTATAGTTATTATAAAATATTGACTGTATTCCCTGTGTTGTACAATATATCTTTGCAGCTTGTTTATTTTATACATGGTAGTTTGTACCTCTTATCCCCTCCCCCTATCTTGCCCCTCCCCCTCCTATGCATGCTTTAATGCTCAGCTTTCCTTACCCCTCCTTCAGGAAGCCTTTCAACATAGCCAGACCTGCCACTCTCTGCCTCCTTTATTTTTTTATTTTTGTTTTTTAAAAATTACCTCTTAATCCATTGATCCAAATCATCTCACTTTTTTTTTTTCCCACACCACGTGGCTTGCGGGATCATAGTTCCCCGACCTTGGATTGAACCCAGGCCACCGCAGTGAAAACACCGAGTCCTAACCACTGGACTGCCAGGGAATTCCTGACTCTGCAGCCTTTAAATTCTTGATGTAGTTGCTTCCTTTACTGATGTTTTATGTTATTGATTCTGTTTCCCTGTGCATATACCTATTCTTCTAGCTAGACTATAAGCTCCTCAAGGACAAAGACTACACCTTGTACTTTTTGTGCATGACCTGGACTTGCTAAGGAAAAAAATCCTGTGGACTGAGTGCTTTGTCACCTCTATAGTAGCTTTTGCAAATTGCTCTCTGTACTCAGTTGAATGATGAAGTTGTCACAGACTGGGGTTCTGGTCCTGAACTGCCACTTTTAGCTATGTAACTTTAGGCTGGTCCTCAGTCTACACATCTGTATAGTGGGTAGATTGGATGATTCTTAATGGCCCTTTCAAAGCTAAAGATCTGGGAATTTCCATCTTTTTCTGTTCCATTTTAACCCTTGGCCTTTCTCTCTGTTATGCCTTTATCTACATGCAGAAAGGTTCTATAGGCCCACACAGGTGAGGTGTCCCAGACCTGATACCCCTTTGGATGGAACACTGGCCTAGCCAGCAGGAGAGCTGTATTCTCATTTCAGTTCTGCTACTTTTTAGCAGTATGACCTTGGTTAGGTTAACCTCTCTGAATGTCAGTTCACTCTATAAATGAATCTGGTGAACATGAAATGTAATTATGTGGGTGACTTACCATGTAAGAGATGAATCTGACTGTTCACTTTCTCTGGGCCAGAGAAGAGAAATCAGTACATAGACCAGCCCTTGGAAATGGCTCTTTTAGGCATTTCTCGTCAGCCGACAAATGCTGCGGCCCGCTTTGCTCAATGAGAATTATTCATGAAGACAATCATTGTCTTTCTCAACTGCCACAGCGGAAGTGTGGGCTGTGAATGTGATCAGTAGTAGCCCATATTTATCATCCAACCATAAAACCCTGGTAAGTATAATAACAGAGAATAAAAATGTGTGTGTTTTGACAAAACAGCAGTTTTTCCATTTTACAGCTTCCTTAAAGAACCCTTGATGTGTTGTTTCCTGCCTTTTCCTCTCTTTAGAGTTTCTGGTGGTCTCACCCAGTGGGTAGGGCATTCAGGTGTGCCCATGAGGTACATTTCTTCGCATTTGAGCCTCAGTTTCCTCTTTTAGAAAATTCTGTGATCTCTGTGTTGCCTGCTTCACAGGGTTGCTGTGAAGATGAGATTCCACAAAGGAACATGTGCGCCGTTTCAAAGCTCTGTGTTGATGACAGGCATGGAGCTGGTGAAGATGGTGCCATGTCGTGAAGTGGGAGCGGAGGGCTTAGATTCTAGAGTCACATGTATTCAAATCCAAGGTCTGCCACCTAGGAGCCGCGTCCTTCCCATCCTTGGGTCTCAGTCCTCAAGTGTGGAATGGGGTTAAGTGTGCCTACCTGGCAGGTGATTGTGAAGATTAAATGGTATACAAAATGTAAAGTGCTTACAACTGTGAGTTGCAAAGTTGGGTAAGCGCTCAAGAAATTGTTGCTATTATTATTATTTTTTGTCTCTCACTATGTCTTAAATGCTGTAGGTGCCCAACTTATGCTTTTGTGGATAATGTAGTTCATTAACAGTTAATGTTTATTCATTCTGCATCAGACCTCAGTTACTCCAGCACCATGGGGTGCATATATAAAGATGCTAGTCTTTATTCTTTAATCTAGGGAAGATTCTGCTTCCCTAGCAGGGAAGTTAAGCACAAGCTGGTTGGTGACGTTGGGCCAGATGCTCACCCTCTCTGTTCTTCCTCATCTATTAAGGGGGCATGTGATAATAGGGAGATGAATTGAGGTGACGCATGCAAAGCACAAGGCCTGGTTCATAGTGTGGTCCATAGTAAGGGCTCCATCATCTGATGATGACTTTTCTTCAGCTGCTTTATACTGTTTTCTACCTGTGTCTATTTGTGTGAGTTTTTACTTACCTTATTCAAATCTGTATCCTTACTGATTTTGTTTGGTTGGTTCTATCAGCGACCAAGGGAGGAAACTCTCCAGCTAGGATTGTAGATTTTCTGTTTCTCCTTTTACTTTTGACAAAGTTTTTTTTTTTTAATTACATAGTTTAAAAAATTGAGATGTAATCAACATACCATAAAATCCACCATTTTAAAGTATAAAATTCAGTGGTTTGTAGTATATTCACAAGATTGCACAAACATCACCACTATTTAATTCTAGAACATTTTCATCACATCTTTCCCCCACAGAATCCCCCTACCCATTTGTACTCACCCTGTTACTCCCTCTCCCCAGCCCCTGACAATCACTGGTCTACTTTATCTCTCTGGATTTTCCCATTCTGGACATTTCATAAATGGAATCATGCAGTTTGTGGCCTTTTATGTCTGGCTTTTTCACATAACATAATGTTTTCAAGAATCATCCATATTGTAGCATGTATCAATACTTTATCCCTTTTTAATGGTTGGGTAATATTCCATTGCACGGATAGAGCAGATTTTGTCTATCCGTTCATCCAGCTGAGTTATTCATCAAATCTACTTTTTGGCTATTATGAATAATGCTGCTATGAACAACTGTGTACAAGTTTTTGTGTGAACGTATATTTTAATTCACTTCTGACAAGTTTTGCTCTGTTATTCCATGCATACAAATTTAGAATTATTAGAACTGCCTGATGGTTTGACCCTTTTATCTTTATGAAATATCCCTCTTTAGTAGATTTTTGCCTTAAAATCTACTTTGTCTGATACATTAGCTTTCTTTTGATTGGTGATTACATAGTATATCTCTTCATCCTTTTACCTTCAACTTATCTACATCCTTATATAAGGGTGCTCCTCTTGTGAACGTGTGGGATTAAAAAAATTCAGTCCGTTTTTTAACTGGAGTATTTACTATGCTATGTCCAGTGTGTTTCCTGATATATTAGATAGTTTTGGGCTTAAATGTTCCATCTTACTGTTTACTTACTATTGGTCCTCCCCTTCTGTGTTCTTTTTTCTGTACTATTTTTGCCTTCTTTTGCATTAAGTTTTTGTGATTTGTATAATTTCTCTTCTAGTAGCTTGTGAGGTATGTATTCTTTTCTCTTAGTGGTTACCCTAGATTACAACATGCATCCTGCACTTATTCAATTCTATTATAAGAGGATCCTTCTATCACTTTCTGGACAATCCAAAGACCTTAGAACTCTTTCACCTTTCTGTCTGTGGTGGTCTTGTTATCATGGATTTCAATTCTTGCTATATTTTAAACCACAACAGACATTATTATTAATGCTTTGTATA